CAAGGTTTTAGCACATTGGTTGCTTAAAAAACTACATCATTTTATCTTCTTGTTCATCTAGGAGGTTATGATTGGACGATGAATAAAATGCTAACTGTTATTGAATGTCAAAGAAGTTTTATTAGCGCAATCTTTAATAGATGATGTAATTACCTATCCTTTCTTTAGCAGTGTAAACTGTAATATAGTTACAATTTGGAAATTATACTGATAAATTATGATTTCGTGCTTGTTTGTATAGACTAATTCTAAAATGATATATGATAATACGTAAGAGGGCGATGACTAAAGAAATTTTGATCTCGTTAGCACTATCAGGGTATACAGGGTATAGAGAGCGTGATAGCTTTACAACCATCCTATCCATAGATTACTACTTAAATGAATCAACTTTAGAACTCATTACTTCCCAGGAAGACCATATGGCGTCCTTTTTTCCTTTATAAAGCCTGTAATAATGTTTGAAACTGACACATGTTACGTAGATGAGGTAAAGCTTAGTATGTCAATATAAAAGATATTTAAAAGTGTATGCATGTGTTTATTTGTGCATTAACAACACCGAGCCCATCGATTGTGCATTAAATAAATTTTGGGCTTATAGTACATCTTCTAAGAAATATTTACGAGTAGTGTGTTTTAGCAGGACTATAAAGTCGTAGTTAATCCATAGCGGATAAAATTCTTTTGGATTGATATGGAGTACCAAGCTCTCGATCGTACTATTGAAACAATCCCGGGCAATAGTCAAATCGACAATGGATCCGATCAATCCTCGTTACCACTCTTGAATAACGACTCAAATAGTACAGTAGATAACCTAAATCATGTTTCATCAACTATTGATGATATTTATCAAGCTAAACGCACTACACCAAACTACTTCAAGTTTGCCTTAGAAGTCTTTAGAATTCTAAGAACAACAGGTAATTTGATAGCTGTAATTAATCTATAAGAGAATTCGTCTTTCTTCTTATTCATAGAGATTACGCCTAAGTTTTTTCGGAGATTTCAATCACAGGCTTACTAAATTTTCAGCTACGGTGTTCAAATTAAAATTTTATTTGACAGTTGGGTATACCGTAATCTCCAGCCTACTATTGGTGCTCCCTATAGTTATGATCGCGATTGGTAAGGACTTTAAATCTAATTTTAAATTACATATTATACTAATACTTTTATGTTTTATCAGCCAATTTTATACACCTAGCTGTATGTCACCATTAATTATAACTATCAAACCAAATCCGATAGCCATTTCTGGATTAGATTGTTATATCATCCTATAGCGTAAACTTTTACGAGTTATTATAAAATATCGTTGACATAAAATCATCCAGCTTGTATCATTTTTCGGACATAATCATGATCCTATTTTAAATTGCGATACTTAATAGTCTTATAGAATAAATCGTACAAAGACTATGTTTTCTAAATAGTTACATTTGTTTAGGTGCAAAGTTTGAAAAGCAATGCCCGATACAACCGATGATACCGAAATTTTTGATAATTGGCGGATCGTTTTTAGTGTTGAAGTTATCGTTAGCTATTCGCCAACAAGGTCAAGAATCAAACATCAGTCAAGAAAATCACTATCATTTTGACTGTTATGTTATAACAGACCAAATAATATCGGCATTCCTATTTATATGGTTTCTATTGGGTAATATTTGGGTATTTAGTCATGCAAATAATAATACTGTATGGCAAAGTAATGAGCCCAGCAAACAATCACCGTGTAATATAGTCTTATATAGATTTTCATTCGATCTTGTAATATCCGTTTATATTTTTTATCTACTCTTAATTGTGATAACAATCGTTATCTCATTTTATGCCGCAATAACTTTCTATAGAAGGAAAATAGACATATGATGTATTTTAATCAGGTTACATGTGTATAAAGTATTGATGCAGAGGATAGGTATGCTAACCATAGATAGATTTTCTCTCAGCTGTATGCAAACTATCATTTGAGAAGTATTATACCTGATTTGAATAGAGTATAAGGTACACCAGGCTTTAAAAAATATTCGGCGACGCAGTCTACTAATTATAATATTTTTTTGTGATGTTATAGTCTATTCAAGAAATAACATAGTGATATAAGATTAGATAAATATTCTTATACGATATTTACTTGGTAGCATAATGTACATTTAGAAATTCGTTTTTAACAAAATCTTATTTTTTTATATATATAATGCAATGTGTAAATTATTATGATAGCCAATTGCAAAAATCTATAACAATACAGTCAGTTTTAGCCCATTTTTTTATCATGGTGCAACTGAAATACTGTCATTATAGAAATCATTTTAATGCTGTATTTTTGTAATTGCACCTTCTAACGGTAACCTATAGACCCTTAATCACGTCGTCATGCTATGATAAACTGACCATGGTATTTACGGACATTACATTACTTCGTCAATTTTAACTCAATCGCAATCTAGCATGCTAATATCATTACTGAACTCGTCATGTAAATATGCTACGACTATAGTTACTCGGTAATATAGAGCAAAAAGGCAAAATCTATTCAGGACCATTACTTTATAGAGTGTAGAATACAGCCAGTAGTCGTTTTGACATGACACAGATGATTTTACCAGGGCAAGTACAGTAATGGCATCATTTTTGTCAGAGATATGCGCTAACGGTAATACGCTCAAGCCTACAGCAAGAAGTAAATTGCTGCAGGTAACATCATTTTTTTGTGAATACAGTGCAATGCTATGGTGAGACATGTATGATAAACAATATCCACACTGATTGAAGTAATTTACAAGGGGAGATTTTTTTCTTTCCATCTTTGTGCATGCAAAATGGAATGTATAGCTGACTGATCCGGCTGATTTTGCAAGACTTGCTGCAGCTGTGACGCTCAGATGCTCTGCACCTGGGACCGATACGGAAGAGTACAGTACGGTACCGTACAGTGGCATGTATCGTAAGACAAGTACTATACACTGTAAAGTACAGACTGTGCACTGTACAGTATTGTAGCGAAGGACAAGTACAGTACTATACTGTACTGTGCTGTACACAAGTTAGTAACTGTACCAGACTGCGGTTTGCAGTCGTTGAACATGAGACTGTATTAAGTCTATACTACGCTACACCACAGTATTGAATTCAGTCCGTCACACCGGCTCCGTTAAACCATCCAACTTCGATGCTGCGAGATTAGCTTTGCATTTCTTAGTCTTCAAATAGGAAACTGCAAGACGCAAAAGACAAATGATAATGCCATTTTAATCCTGATATATCAATCATCCATGGCCTTATCACTTGGACTCATACCTGGCTTAGCTCTATTTTGGTGTATGCTATTTATATTCGATAATTTATTGAAGGTAGGAAATGCAATAACCAGTCCTTTACTCTCATACATCCATGGACTTCAACAGGATGACTCACTATTCTACTATTCGTCATCAGCTGACATTATCAATGCTCCGTTAGTCATCGCTCAAACATAACTGACTAGTATAACAATATTGCACATGCTTATCTTGGCCACTAAGCTCTTCTTCAACTTAGCAATCACTATTAGTGTCACAACTTATTGTACAAACATTAAACCTCTAGAGCTAAGCGAGATATTGCAAAAGCGTTGTGTATTCGTTGTCATTAATATTACTACTTACTTTCAATGACTACATAGTAGCTAGAACATTGTACAATAATTGATTAGTTTATTTATAGCAGCATTTCTTGAAGTAAAATTTAAACTCCACAAGGGCAAATTAATATCGTGATAATCGTTGCAATGTTGATTTCAAGTAAACCTTGATATACTTCTTGCGTAGTTTATCGTATTGTCATTGTGCATGCTACGTAAGAGTATGATAGACGTAGATCTTCCGATAACTAATCTAATGATTATATATATATATATTATATATTTATTATTAGCATTCTCCTTGTACTGTAGTACTGTATCATGAATCATCGTACAGCTGTTGAAAATAACTCATACTAACGAATAAAATTGGGTGATTTTTCAATTGGATATCAGTAGTATCGCAAGAGAAATTCGTACAGGTCAGGCAACAATAGCATGAACATTGGACATGTTCCAGTCCTCTTCAAAGCTATCCGCTGTACCCGCATAACTGTCGCACAATATCGATCGTCGATTCAGATGATATAATAATTCTCTTACGTGCCAAATCTGATCAGCAAACGTTAATACTGTTGTAAAATACCACATGACATTCTTAGCTTGAGGTCGAAGATAGTAATATCTATATTATGTACTTAGAATATTTACGTACATTTTACCTTGACTATTTCTATAAACGTACAGTATTACTTGTCATCAATGGATAGTCAAATCTTAGCATTTATGCAACTGCTGCAGTGATTTCCCTCGACGTACTGCAGTATGCAGAAATATTAATATAGGTAGCGTGCATTAATTGATCCAGAAAAAGGAAACAACAATCGGTTTATCAAATTCGTTATTCTATACTAAACTGTATTATCTACTTATAATATTTACGGTGTACTCCATGGATGGCGTATGCGTAACTGTCTCTCATCAACATTTGGTTAAAATGAACCTTTTATCACCAATATGTGCTGTAGACTATTAGTATTTGAAATACAGTTTGATAATTATATTTAATAATAATAATTCTCTCACTTCTAACTATTTATGCAGTGCGTATGCATTGATCATTCAATTAGGAAGATATAATATTTATTACAGCATTTCTGTATATTACTGTACATACTTGTTTATATAGACTATTCACTTTACGATACAAAATAGTGCCAAAAAATCATACTTTCAAAGTGTTGTAACATAAAATCAAGTCAGCTTTAGTATCTGCAATCCAGAATAATAAGTATTGGTATTGTTGTACACGTCTAATTAAATTTCTTTTTGACTGTTTATTAACTGAAAAATCAATTTACCGTTTAACGAATTTCTAAAAATGTTTCCTCTTCTACTGTATTTGAATAATATCAATTAAAAATAATAATAGATGGATTTATATTATTACAATATACGAATATCTCTACAGTTACAAATATCCTATCACGCATATTATACCAACTTGTTAATAATTAATTTTTCTTATGTTTCATTCTATCAACAGAGAAGCAAATGGTCTGAATGTTATGACAACTTTTTAAGACGCTATGGTATCACTATCTCATTAGCTCAAATTCGGGTGACAACCACGCGATTAAATCGGACATTTGTACAGATTGGCTGTTATTGTACATATTTATGGAAAATTTGGTTTACTACTGGATTATGTTGTGGTCTTGTCATAATGGCATCTTCCATTTTTATTTTAACAATTACTGCTGTTCGGTCACTGCTACCAAAAAAGCATACTGAACTTCTTCTTACACCAGTGGTAGGTATCACACAGCCAATTTAACGCATTTTCTATAATCATATGATAATAGCATACATATAATAACACTTGCGGTATGAAGAAGGTCGAAAGATGTTTTATGTCAAGTTTTTGTCCTGTACAATTTTCAAACTCTATAAATTTCGTGAAATTCTAATTTATTCTACCTCATATAGCAAGATTTTGCAACGTATGTTATTGAATACATTTACTTTTTAGTTGCCAGGGATCAATATAGGATGGAGTCAGCTGGTCTATGTTATCCCTGCTATAGCTATAAGTGGAATATTTCACGAATTAGGTCATGCAATCGCCGCAATCAGGTAAACTTATAAAAACCTCAAATAAGAACTGTAAGCACAATTTGCTAGTCTCTTCAAAGCTTAATCATGTAGATAGAATAATAAGTATCTATTGAAAAGATAGGTAGCAGCAGCTTTAATTACCAATGGAAGGACCGTTATTTACTATTTAGAAAGCATTACTATTTACAGAGTGTTGCGCTAAATGCGGTTTCGTCGCAAAATAGTGCAAACTCCGTAAAGTCAATCATTGTCTTATATTCCTTTGTCATTCCTAGGGAGAACGTTAAAGTCAATGGCTTTGGTCTCTTTGTGATGCTTATTTATCCTGGTGCTTACGTTGATTTGTCCTCAGATCACCTGTCGCAAATATCGCCGTATAGACAATTAAAGATCTATTGCGCTGGAGCTTGGCACAACATCGTATTGGCACTTTTATGTATAGTACTAGTGAAAAATCTTTCCATTGTCTTATGGCCCTTCTATGTAACCGGAGGTTCTATTGCAGTGTTAAATGTGTTTTCGGTTAGTGCATGCACTGATACTAATTAATAACTATCAGTTGAAATCAATAATGGATGCTATCATCATTCTCGTAATTTTTTATCTGACATATCTGTGAGCAAATTTGTAAGATATTCTTTGTCCTACCTTACGTAATTACTTTACCTATGATTAACATCATTTGCTGCGAAAAATTTCTTATTTGGGTACTAATTTTATACACTATGGTTGTACAAATAGTAATAATTTAATTCATTTTTTTAGGGCTCTCCCTTGTACAATGTTCTTGAACGCGGAGATATAATTACCAATATTAATGAATGTCCCGTTCAAAGTATATCCTTATGGAGAAGTTGTTTAAGTGACATACAACAACAGCCATTAACTGGTTATTGTGTTGACATAAGAACTTTAGAAAAAAGATATCATCATACTGTGAAAGGTGGTCATATTAATAGTATATAATTTCATGTACTATTTCGTTTAGGAGTCTTTAACAAACGAAGTTGCTGTTGTACAGTATATTTCTGCACTCTATAGAATTTGTTAATTCGTGCACAGTATGTTTACAGAAGTATTTTGCGTAATCACTGTTTAGTATCAAATTACTATGACTCAGGCGTAATACATGTACGGGTATCTTCGATCACTTCTATAGGGCTCAAATTATATAATTTGAGTAAGAATTAAAATGAATTTCCGTAGACATTCTATGGAGATATTAGATATTTTCTAAGAAATATTGTAATCACACAAGGCCATGTATAAACTGCACTGTTTTACATAAATAAACAAAAAAATGTAGATAGTTATCGAAGTGATCACGAGAATCTTTTCATCTCATCAACTTCATCACATTACTTTGCTCTTCCACTATAAACATATCATCAAATAAATTTTATTATAGTTGATGTTAGTATATTTACTGTGTATTTAAAGCTTATTCTATTCTGAACTTATAGGCTACGAATTACTCATACTTTATCTGTAAGATTAGCGACTATTATAGCCATGTTGAAACCCATCGTTATGCCCCATTAACCTCGCTTATATCCTAATTTTAGGTCCTATCTTCGATTGTTGCAATCGCACATCTAGCGATCTATGTTTTTCTTTTAAATCGATGCACATGCAAAAGGTTTGTTGAAGCCTAAAATTGAGTGCATTGCGTGAATGAAATTGAAGAAGTGATATATATTCCTTTATTTCTCTAGAGATCAAAGGTTTGCCTAAACGCTCGAAATACCAGTGCACGTTCTAGTTGTAACACCGATTTAGATTGCCTAACAAGTAAGGCGAGAGTATTCCTAATGTATTTATATGATTATATTTTAATTATGTTCCTTGCAACGCATAACGTGTCTAAATAATATTTTGATTAAAATATATCGATCTAAATGCATGTATAACTACTTGTAGCTAATAAATTTCGTCTTTAATATTTCCAATTGAAATTCTGCAACCCCAATTTGTAATCAACGATGTTGGTATTTTATTTGCTAATAAAGGTCAAAAAAGTACTTGCGTTATTCCGGTTCTACCAAAAGATTATCGATTGCTTAGAATAAAACGAAATAGAAAAAAGGACGTCTTATATATCGATATTCCAAAGAACCTTCTTCAAGCAGGTAAAATAAACCGGTGTCCGTAATTAAAATTACTCTCTGTAATGTAAAATACACTTATACAATTAAGACGAATCCGTTTTACCTCACATCCTTCGTTTTAATTCAAAGTTATTTTCGTACTAAAAATGAAATGCAATTTGAATCAGTTTTTTCAGTACGAGAATGATATTCTCATTACATAACTTTATAAACTTTATTATTAATAGTTAGTATTACAAATTATCTTCCTCGACTTTCAAGTCTATCGGTTATGATTCCCGACAACGTGGAAAGGTTCTTATTGTATCCATCATAAACGTATTATATGAACGTTTTTTATTCTAGTTTCATTCTTCGGATTGCTTATAGTATGCCTTACTGTATATGAATCAACATTTTACTCTGTTGTCCTTAACATTTTTAATCATAGGTACATAATATCATTTTCAGCAGCGCTGGCTCTATTAAATTTGGTTCCAGCATATGCTTTAGACGGCCAATGGGTACTGATAGCCCTTACCGACTACTTTACTACACCATCTAATAGGCGTACCGTAAACCGATTGCGATCCATTATACATATAATAGGAACTGGTTTACTTGTACTTAATGTAGCTATAGCTCTACGACCACTTATAATTTAATTATCTTGAATAAAACAGTTCCTGTATTTTAGTTCCGCGACATATATTTGATTTTTTTTTACTCGAAGGCAATACATGGGGAAATAATATTGAGTAAATAAAGCCGAATTATGAATACCCGAATAAACACATAAAATGCCTCAATAATTTTTTATAATTATTACGACTTTATTGGCTGAAATAAATGTAAAAAACATGCTATTTCGAATCAGAAGTCAGAAGGTGCACAGGCGTCGGAATAATTGTTGTTCCTCGTCGTATTTGACCCCATCCAATCAATCTACAAAAATACTTTAGGTTAGATATTATTTCGCAGTGCGTAAAACTGAACACTCGTGTAATCCATACGATAGTGGAAATAATGACAAATTTTAATCTGGTAACTAAATTTAAAACTACTTTTCTTGGTATAGCGATAAATACGATACCTCCAGTGTTTTTCTACTCTCCTACTTAGAGCAATTTTTTCTCCCGTTTCGGTACAGACTGGTTGTGTTAGTAATACCTTTGCTAAATCAGCTTTGACAGCAACTACTCTGCCTCCCGTTGAAAGCGATCCAATATTTACCATTAGGACTTCATTTTTAGATAGTTTCTGAACCTAGAATTTTCAAATGAACAGAAATTTAGAACATCAAAACAACTTATAGTTTAAAGAAATGGCATTTGTAGGTCATACAAGTTTCTTTTTACTTTATGACAGACATATAACTTAGGACTTAATTGAACACTAACTTGCGTAAATCTACATCACTTGGAATTATAAGCAACAGCAATGATTACGAAATTTTTCATTATTAATATCTACAAATATTACTGCATTTTTTGTGACAGCTTTGTTCGAGTAAATCGGCCCGAGCAAAAATTCTATTCAAACATTATCCATTACTATCAGTGTAATTACTATTACAATCTACCTATGTCATAAGTTTATAACATTACCAATTTGATATGGATACAACTAAGTTATAATACTATTAACCAATAGCTATTTGCGCTTTGTTTCAATTTTAATATATATAAATAATAAGGTAATAGTTGCTTACTTTAGCCCCTTTCTTATCACCTTCGGTACGAACTCCAAGGAGACGTTTTAATAAGAAAAAGCTGATCTCAATCTCAGTATAGATACTAGGCAAACCGTCAATACCTCCTAGTACCTGCACATCAAATAATTTGTAGTTAGCCCACATATAAAATTTGTATCAACTTTTTATTGATCCTCACATTCACAGGTAGATTGTCACTTACCTGGCCAACCATTCTGTCACCTCGACAAAGCGTTGGATCAATTTTTGTTCCAACACCTAAAAAGTGTAATTGGTACAATTATTAAGATTAATCAGAACTGTAAGCCCAATACAAGAATTCGTTCTACTATTGTTACCAATTAGGCCACCAGGGACGGCATATTGGAGATCATTTTTCTCAGCATACAGAGATACTATTTTAGATACAATAGGTGTACAAACTATTTCTCCATCTTTATTTTTCGATACAATGCCAGGCCTAACTTCAATCTCTTGCCCAACCTATAAAAGTGATATTCATAGTGTGATATCGTATTTACTACCATGTAATTGGGTTGCCAAGAACGTGCCAAGTCTCATTTATGATAAAACTTTGCATACCTTTAATACACCCTGAAGGATACTTCCACCAGCAACTCCACCTTTTAATTCATCAACCTCACTACCAGGTTTGTTAACATCGAAGGAACGAATGACTGATAAGATTATAGACAAAATAAACAGATCCGAATTAGATAAAAGAATATGGAATCATTTATAGCGATAAATGTTGAATTGATGAACTAAGCTTAATGTTAGTAAATCTTGTTTATGTACCAATTAAGCGAGGATCAGCTAGAAAATCCCTAACTGGTAATGGAATCTTTTTACAGATGTATTCACATACAACTTCAATGTTATACTTCAGTTGGGCTGATATTGGAATTACAGGGGCTGACTCAGCCACGGTGCCTTAACATTTGTTTTATATAAATACAGTTGGACATGGTTAGAGGAAATCATTTATACTTAATACATTATTAATACAATTAATTATAATCGAATTAACACTTGGAAGATGTTTTATTACCAACCGTGAACAAATTTCGTAATTTTTTCATATTGGTCTTTAGCTTGACCTTCTTTAATTAAATCGATCTTATTTTGCAAAATTATGATATGATTCAATTTCATAATTTCGATAGCGGCTAGATGCTCGGATGTCTGTGGTTGTGGACAAGATTCATTTCCAGCTAACAATCATAGAATGATGAGGCAATAAGATTAGAAAAAAGTGTATTGTAAAAAATATTTCCCTACTGTTTATACGCGTATACTAGATGTACCGATTAACAACAATGCAGCGTCCATAACTGCAGCTCCGTTTAACATAGTTGCCATAAGGATATCGTGGCCAGGACAATCTACGAATGATACGTGTCTGTAAAATTTATATAAGACGGGGATATTAATAAGCATGCTTGACATGGAAATTGAAATAATGCTAAAGAAATAAGAATATATCAGTATACCTTTCCAATCGAAATTTTCCGCCACATCCTGGTCGTTCACAAGGGAATACGTCCTCCTTGACGCTTCCACATGAGCGATAACAGCCAGGACGGGGACACTCGCTATTGTCACACTTGTATATCTGTCAACAAGCACAGTGTAAATTAAATTTTCCTTTATGTACAGGTAGATTGGCAAATAGCTTTTTTAACTACAAACATTTAATCACCATGAATGGAAATTCTTAGTTGCATAAATCACATAAATATAAACTTACTTTAGCGTTAGCATATCCTAACTTGATTGTAATGTTACGTTCTAATTCACTCTTGAATCGCACAGTCTAGACACAATATTAAGATAGTATTTATTCAAAATGAAAAGTATTGTGTAGCAAAGTATTTCGTAAGAATCGATTCATTTGTGAAAACAACATCTATTTATGTTGAAGCAGCTATACGAGCGGCAATGATTACCGACTTTCTACAGTAACGTTTACGCAAGATAATTAGTCAGTAATATGTCTATATATTGGTATTTATCCTTTTACTGTTGGTAAGCAAATGTTTCAAGTTATTACTTTCCGTAACATAGCGATCCACACGCCTTTTACTCGGCTAACAAAAGTATTTACGATACAAACAATAAAGTAAGCGTATAGTATTACATGGAGAGATTTATTGTAGCCGGTTATCGCTAGTAATGAGTGTTATTGATTTTTTTGTATGTATTATCGAAAGTAGCGCATAAAGTACCTACTTCACGATTATAAAAATCATAGGATGTTTCATTTGGATTAACTAGTCAATACATATTGCTGTACATTTATGTTTCCAGTAAAACCGCTTTACCTGCACACCAGAAATAGCTTTAACTAAAGTAGATTTCCCGTGAGCTACATGACCAATTGTACCTATAGAGAGTGAAAGTGATAAAATAAGTCATACAGTCAATAGATACGCATGGTATGGTAAGCAGTACTCGTCTAACAGCATGACATAAAGAGAGAGTGGAATCGATGTTCTTAAAAGTCATGTATATCTACGGTACGTAGTAAAAATATCAACTGCTATATAAAATTGTAAAACGCAGTAGGATTACTTTACAATACTTGTAGGTAATGTATGTTGATAGCTGTAGACAGTTGTAATGATCCAACAATGGTGATTCACTACCATACTGTCTAAGCATGACAATTTTTACGATATCATGGAGAGACTGTGTTTTTCAATTTACTGCATGGAATCGTTGTTGATATGAAGACTCATAAAGAGTACGGTCAAGCTATTTGAATGCCTTTCTTATTTATTTCAATTACCGATATTAATAGTCGCCTGCCTACTAATAACTTCAGGTGTTATCGCAGAAAGCTTGTTGATATCCTACAACAAGGAATAGAAAGACATGAGGAAAACAACCTAGTCAAATTATCTGTAATACATGCCAAGTATGACGCAAGAAAAAAATGGAAAATGCAATGGAACATAGAATGCTGTAGGTAAATTGGAAAGCGCCACACTTGATGGGTATAAAATGAATTGCAGTTGATTTATAAGTGGTGTAATACCAATTGAAAAAGACTGCCAAAACCGCAGCAGAAGTATCATTATGTGCCGTTGTCGATCAATCATGATCAAGTTATAAAAACTACTTTCATCAATCCATGATGACAACCAGATCAAAATGACTGCCTTTCCAAATAGGAGTACTGTCTATTTAATAGATGTATTTTCCATTAGGAGTAGCGTAGACTGCACTATGATGAACCTGTACAACGTTCAATCAAAAATCAATCTATTGCTACTACTACTACTACTGTACTACCACCACTTTTGCATTGGTTTGGCCAAGGGTAGCAAAGAACTAATTCAATCGTAACACTACTTGACTGAAGAAGAATGCCTTTCAAGATGAAAATATGCATGGCAGCCTTGTTGAATTAGTGAAGATGAATCCATCGCGTTCTTCTTTCGATATATAAGAGGAATCAAGTAAAAAAGGGCCAAAAAGAAGGCCATTGCAACTTACTAGTGTACTCGCATCTTGGCTAGCCAGATGCGATTGTGTTAGGGTCGTTACAGAGCCTGTATTCGCCGCTTCAGTTGGACTGGCTGTTGTCGCCATTGCTGACTGAGACTCGAGCACGTATGGCGTGGTTGCTGGCACGGAGTAAAAATCACTCGCTCTGACTGCTTTTTTTTTACAGCCTAGCGCATGAATACAGCGATTGTGATGGGTATGAAGGTGTTGAAGAGAGCGATCACATGGAGTTATGTCATGATCCGGCGGTTTGCAACTTTGTACCATTTGTATAGCCTACCGAGGTGGTGGCAGTATAGGCATGCGCAAACTACAAGACGTTTTGGTTCTGCTTGAAAGAGCAGGGGGAAAACTATTAAATTGTGCGAGTGCATTCTCCCTCCCTATACACTCTCGTGACAGTATTTGTTGTGACGCATTTTTACTGCACTGTGCCTAGCGGCTGAGACACAGTACTGTACTCTACTCTACAGTCTACAGTACACCATCTACAGGAGTCGATGCGCCAAGTACTGTAACCCTAGGCCCAAGATGCACCATGGACTACTTGTACAGACATGGACGCTTTCTCGCTAGCAAGGAGTCGCTTGTCCGCCTTACTCTCATTTTCAACTTCCTATAAAGGGACGCCTATCGCTCCAAGATACTACTTTTTGGATGCCACTTTCCTAATTATACGTTTACTGCCATAAAACTCAAATATAGAGTTTCATAAGGTAACGGCGCAACTCTGACGCATTAATCATCACCCATACCAACTCTTTCTCCTTCTTAAGCAGTCGCCGTCGCCTTTCCCTCATCTTAATTAAACTCCATATTAATAGGGACACCTATCGCTCCAAGATACTTTTTTTATCCAATTTTCGTAATCATACGTTTACTGCCACTATAAAATTCAAACATACAATTTCATAAAGGAAACGTATGGATTATGTACAGTACAACGAGCGTCAGTTGTAGTGAACGAGGGGTCTACTAGGACAGCATTCTATATTTCAGGGGAATTTTGGATGGTTGGATTCCCCTGATTTTTTTTTCTTGGGGGGGGGGGGGCTACAGCTCGTACTAAAAGCTGTTAAAACCGCAATATTTCGCTTTCTAAATGGCATAAGGGAAGTAAAATTATTAATTGTAACAGTTTTACATTAAGCATAGAGAAGAATTCAATAATTGATGTACTGTACAGTGTAGACTGGACACTCACAGTAAAACTGTTTACTGTGCAAGTTCGTATACGAGTATTCGCGTATATGTAGTACAGCATATACTATAAGTAAAAGTTGATGTCTACACGAGTCTACACGAAGTCCCAGGATTCTTTAAATCTTACCAATTGATTGCCTATATTTATAGGCGGCAGTAGCAGAATTATCAATGGCTTCAATTTAAAAGGTGAGATAAAGTTACGTCTTTGAAATTGAAGCCATTGATAACTCTGTGGATTTCCTTTACAGTATTTATATTATTATTGCCTTATTATTATGCAGGAGAACATGATGCGTTACGAGTAGAATTAAAACCCAGATTTTATCATCATAACGAAATGAATGAAATTGACCGGATTGCTCCTATCGTATACGCATACTGGAAAACTTTTGTGGCTTGAATAACACTTTTTGCCTGCCAAATTGCACATTGACATAAACGTAGTACTTTAGTACAATACTGTATCAAATAGAAATGCATTTTAATTTTAATTTCTTCTTATGTCTGCAAGGATTGACGACAGTTACATAAGATGATCATAGACATCCTCTGCATATAAAGATAAAACACAAAGATATCAACCCGTTTTTGATGATTGACCAGTACACAAACACTATACGGAATCTGGGCAGAATCAATAGAGGAAATCTACCGTCATGGCTCTCCAATAATAATAACTGCCCTTGATATAGTTCTTGAATCAATGTTAGACTATTATCACGCAATGCACATAGTATCAATTGGACATAATCTGCGTTGGACTAGATTAAAAAAATTTGCACGCTAAGCCACTAAAGGTGTTACAACAATCGGATAATACTGCATGTAGTTATTTGGAAATTAGTAAACCACGAAACATCGCATTATAAGATATGTGATAGATATGACCAGTAAAATAATAATACCAATATGGATAGGCCTAACCTGAACGAAAAGGTTACCTGGAATTAAATTAATTAAAAGCTAACTGAGGTAATCTAACAGTAAGAAATGAGCAAGTCTTACTCTATCAGTTTATGAAGTTGTCGCATGATAGATGTTTCTATTCTACGCTGCACGTATTCATCCACTACATTTAAATCATACCTTGAAGGTATATAATAAAAACACACTGTATAAAACATAAAGTCTCGGCGTAATATAAAAATAAAAATAATATATCTTAGTTTGTAGGCAGAATATGAGAAATGAGATATTATCAAGCAGAAATCAGTTTATAATATTGTCAAGCTTAGCAAATTCCAGTTCTATAAAAGTACCGCGTAAGTATTATAACGCTAACTGTCTTTCATAACGCATTATTACCATAATGAACACATCTTATCGGATAATTAATTGAGATGATAGTAAAATAGAATAGCTAGATTTATAAAAACAAAGAACATTCTTGACTATATCTGTCACATGAGTAAATCAAATGAGGATATCAACAATCGTGAGAATATAGGAAGCCAGCCTACCATCACAACAAGTAGGACAATACAGGCTGTATTGTTTACTTAATCGCTTAACATAGTTAATATCAGAGCATTTACCACACCTGTAACGCAAAGTTGAAGCAAAATAAATATTATTGAATAAATGTGACGGCTAGATTTGTCTAATAACTAGGACTTGCAGATATCCCTAGATAATAGCATCCTATCGTGATAGGACCAAAAATGGATTTAACTCACCCACATCCTGACTCTACTGTTACTAATTGATATTTTTATAGTATATTTTTCTATGACATGCGTCAAAAAAATGACCTACAGGGTATAACTAATGGACTTGCTTATTTACGTTATTTATTAGTTGCGAAAAGATCACGTGTTCTACTATTGGATCCAATACGTTCATTATTGTTTCTTAAGAATGGGCATTGACTGAAATGTAATCAACGTAAATTAACGGAGAACGGCGCAATATAATATTTGATGTAAAATGATAGACAACACTTTGTTGGCCTACTATCATTGATTTGTTTTAGTGGAATTATTGATAAACTAGCAAGTATGACCGGCTACACTCAAAATAAATCTTCACTGTAATAGTATTATGTGCATATATCAAAAGGTGATCAATGATGTGGAGTGATAATTACATTATCATTACTAGTGTAAAGGTAAAAATAGTTTAGAAACTACTCATTACGCTAAGGATTTGAATTTAGAATAGAAATGAGACAGTTAAATTATAATTAAAATTAAATTTTTTTATTTTACTGTAACATTCGTATATTGTTGTAGTATACAGGTATAAATCCTAATTGTTAGTAACTAGTAATAAAATTGTTGTTAAAAACTATTCTCAGTATCAGAATTATTAAAAATTTGATAATAGCGATTGAACTCCGACGGGAATAACTATAGTCCAAAATTGATATTTCCACTTACATCTACAGTGTTAAATATTTAGTCGTGACCAATTTATAAATAACTACAAATAACTTTGAAACTCGTTCGTTTATGGTATTAGCGGAACTTAAAATTCCTCTTAGAATAGCTATTTACTTTATTATATACTTTGGTCTACATTTGATCAATAACTATTTTTTAATAATATTTTAGTTCAGTATAACAATTTATTACTGATATTGGTGAGATAAAATTTTTGTAAGCCGTACAAACCGCGGTATAACCGCTATTATTGATGTAACATCTATTACACCTATTAAAAATAAATTCTATATCCGAATAGATAATCTATAAAATTTGCCTACAGCGATCTTTCTAGATCTCTATCTGTAACATAATCACTCAATTAGTGATAAGAGATTAAATTAATTGAAATAGTGCCTGGTCGTTCCGTCAACGTTTTACTAGCATTAATATGAACACCAGTATCATGAATTTTTGGCAACTATCTTATCTTATCATTGAGCGTAACGCGACAATTAAAATCTTGGTTCAGGACTTGAACCGATTAAAATACGAAGATTTATGTAGAAAATATGAAGATATATCCTAAATAAAAATATATTATTAAATACCTATAATTAGGAAATTGGATCTTAGCCTAACCTCTAATATTCTGAGCTTTCTCATTTTACACGCAGTAATGTAAGCAATAGTACATAGCTATAGGAAATTGTTAAGTAAGGATAATACAGATAAAAATAGAACGCTCTTTCTAATGAAGCTACCATTGTAACATAGATAGATTGATCAATGAATAACACTAATTACGAATTTACATGCTATCACGAGCAGAACATTCCTTTGGCATTTGTTACTGTTAAAATTATAGTATAATCTAAATAATAGTGTATTAAATGGTAATTTGAAAGGATATCCTTCATGATACAAATACTCAACTATCACGTTGTAGTCCACAATTTATTGTATACGCCCACACATCTCTGCTTAACAATATACCCAACAGCACTATTGACTATTAATTTAAATTAGGTATAGTAACGTTATTTAGATGTAAATTTGTGTCAATATAACTGTTCATAACAGTATTTTAAGTCAGTGTATGCCAGGAAACAATGCTCCTATAGTAGAATAATTTAAACCCTTAGGCAATAGTAGTAAGCATTTTCTACACAAGGTAAAGTTACTCATAACAACAGCTTTTACTATACGATTAGTTGCTTATTGTTCAACACCATTATTGATCTATTAATGCTTCAGCATAATAAACTATCATCTCATCCTCTTCATATTTTATAGTTAATAGGATGTTTATAGCGCATACGCGCCTAACATTCTACAATATACACTTATAGTATAAGAATAGCGTAAAAAAGATCGATATCGTTATTCTATAACAAAAATAGATGATTGATCACTAGACCAGTAGGTTATACTTTGGGGGTGTTGAAAAATTCAATGTGCTACTCTCAAGTATAGTTATTACAGTGTCTAGATAACACTTTTCCTTTTCGAGAA